TCCAAATGCTCTGATGTCTGAGGGAGCCCCTTGGATAAGCCCAGCTGCAACCTGCAGCCATGGAAATCATTCTCACACTGACACGGACGTTTGGCACGGGCAGTCTTCCCCCAAGAGACCCTCCAGGGCAATGGGCTCTGCCAATTTGGAGTTCTCTCGAGCAAAGCTGTCTGTGTTTAACATTCCTAGGCAGACTTTCACATTAAGTTCATGTATAGCGGGAAAACAGAGCGTACAATTTGCTCCCGTTCGACATAATCATAGGCTCCCAGTGCCTGGAACAATTTAATGAATACCTTAGGATGGGTTTTGCTGTCAGATCATAATACCGCCTTTCACAAAAGCTCTTGCCACTGTCACCATTGCTGTGTCTGACACTGTGACTATGTGAGGAACCCCCAGAGCTCTAGGTAGCTGTGCACTGATATGATAAATGTATTTATTCAACCTGTAGCAACCTGCAATAACTATGCAGAGGAATATCCTCTCTGATGCCCATTCTTTGACCACATTTTTAGGATGAAAGATTGGGGTAAGGTATTTCATTACTCCCAACATACCAAAGGCACACTGTGAACCTCTTTACTCATATTTATGCAGTGCTAAAGCTCTGGTGATGCCATTGCCCTCCTCTAATAAACCACAGGGGTTTCACAACGAGGTTGCAGCGCAACCTTGAGAAAAAGGAAGAAAACGAGATGAGCCACAGAGAGAGACAGGAAGGATCGCCCTGTCATCAACCCCACACTGCCTCCAACAGCACTTTTTTCCCTCAGCAGTCTGAGAACCCAGAAACCCGGAGCGACACTTCAGGTTTCCAGTGAAGCCCATGCTGCTGGGAAGTGCTTTGAAACTCACTCCGGTTTTGAAATGTCACGAGGTGACGGGCCAAGACCTCAGAGACGTGCCGAAAGGAAGAGCTCAGAAAACGTATTTGCATGAGACTTGAAGAAGGGTACACAAGGCGTTGACGGCAAACCCACGCTCCCTGACACCCAGAGATAGCCCTGTGGTGACATGTGCTAAAAAGACACCAATCCTTGGGTCTTTATACGCAGAAATCCAGGGTTGACTCTTGGTTGGTAAGAGAAGGAGAAGGTAAATGACAAGACCCTGCTGTAGGTTGCAGGGGGTGTGTGCACAGCCTGGCTGGGGAATTCCCTGGCGCAGGGAAACCCTTGAGCAGAGCCCAGCCGCTGTCAGGGCTCCTGGGCTCCTGCTGCCCTCCCCACCTCTGTCCTGGGCAACAGCCCCGCTCACAGCATCCCCCAGGCACTACCAAAGCCCTGGGCACTTTTAAAAGACACCACAGGACCTTGCTGAGTAGAGGTGGAAACCAAACCCCGAGTGGACAAACTTTATTTGCAGACTCAGGTTTTTCCCCTGCCTCCTCCCCGCACGGTTGCAACTAGGATTTTCACTCCAGCCTCACTAAATTCAATCACTCCAGCTGGTTTTAGCTGTTCCTGTTGCTTCCTGTTCAGCTAGTGATAACTTCTGTAACCTCCCAAGTAATGAGTTGCTTTTTTTTGTTTCCTGTATGAATTATTTTGGGTGTTTGAGGGACTTCACTTAAACAAACACAGCATCACTCTTACAAGTACTTCCCTGGAGTGTGTATGTGGGTAATATTCTGCCCTGATAGAGCAATCTGGCAGCTGAAACAGGAGAGGGTCTGAATCAATTTCAAGCCTGGATATAGAGCATTTATTCCTTCACCATTGCACCACATGCTTGCAAAAATATCTCTCTTCTGTTTTCATATAGAAATCTAAAACTTCCTCACCACTGAAAATCATTTCTTTTTGAAAGTACTGTGGACCAGACCAAGGTATTCCAGTGGCAGGAATACCACAATTTTTGTGTTGGAAAGGCTAAACTAGCAATGCTAAATTAGTTCACGCTAAGTATTAGAATTACCCCCCTCCCTTGGTATTTGGAGGTGGAAAGATTCATGAGTGAGGAGAAGAGAGTTAAAGCAAACAGTGAGTATGAGGCATATGAAAGCAGAGGAGTAAACCAAGTGAAAATGACCCAATTTTCTACTGATTTGTTCAATGAGTTACTGCAAGTAATTTTTTCCTTGTGCTATTTATGGGGTTTCCCTCCTCTAAATGTTACCATGGTCGCTGTGGTGTAACATTAATTTGCTTATATAATCCGAGTTGCACATATAGACCCAGATGTTATTTCAGAACCACTACACTTGGGGAAGATTTTCTAAAACCTGCACATTAAAACTTCATGGAACAGTGACTTTTTACCATAACACTAATGGGGCCTCTCTCAGAGAAGGGCACAACGTTAACTGTCCTACCATGACGAGACGGTTGCTCAGCCCCGCTGATGCTCCGCTCTGGTCCCCTTGAACCTGCAATTAGGCTTCAGCCTTGTAACACGTTTGTCTTAACTGCATGTTCCATTGCTTCTCTTCATATCGTGTACCAGAAACTGATGGGCTCGGTTTAATACCGGAGCTAAAGACCACAGTGGAAAGTATAAACCAGTATGTATTTATTGCATTTAGTCCAAAGATTAGTTAGCTTCCAAAAATAAATCTGCATTCTTCCTATAGCTTATTTTGTGGCTTAAAAGCAGTAAAAGATCAAACCTCTACGAGTATTTACTTTACAATAGCAACATAACTTCTTTGTAGCCTAACAAGTTATATGCAAAATACTGAGTCTCAGCAGGGTATTAAAACTCTGGGTATGAGATGTCCACAAATTTAACTGCATCTCAGCCCATGTTAACTTTGTTTTCTAGAATATAAAGCAGAACACCACTTTACAGAAACTCATGTCATGAATGAAGCTGTCCTCCATGAAGGCTGAAATTACCGACAATGAAGTAGAACTACTTGTAGATGTATTTTAGGCTTAACAGATTGACTGATTAACACCCCTGGGGAACTTCACCTGTTCTGGGCGAGTGGGAAGCTGAGGGTAAACATCACAACCCAGCAGTGTGTATTCTGACTTCAAGTTGTATTTAAAAAAAAAGAAAAAAGAAAAAAAAAAGAAAAAAGAAAAGAAAAACAGACCTTTTGTACTCATTGGTTACAGAGAGGAACAGCCATGAACAAGGATATTCTTCCGCTTTTGGTGCTTCATGTGTTTGCAAAGCTCAGCAGAGACTTCTGATAAATAGTTCCTTTTTACCAGTAAGTTCATTATATTGGAAGTGAACATTGAAACAGCAAGTGTTGTACCCTTTATGTCATACTTCAGCTTCCACATTTTACATACTGGGCACTGAACTGACTGCTTTTCTGAAGGTAAATTCCCTGGTATCTCCCCCATAGAGCTTCCTTTTACAGGAGCAGCATCAGTGAGATCTCAAAATGCTTCTAAAGCTACTCTGTAACTTTAGGGAGGAAAAGAAGGCTGAAGAGTAAGACAACAGTATTTCTGAGAGCAGCAAGACCAATATAGTAAAATTTTAGTGTACAGAGTACGGTGACATATGCTGTAATTAATTAATAATAAATGAATTTATTCTTCATTTGGCCTCATGACTCTTTCTGGGATATTTTTGTAGCTTGTAGTGAAAATTTAACAGCACCATTACATTCACATGCCACTGCTACAGTGTGTTTGGACCTCCTTTAATACCAGCACTTTTGCCAACCTCCCCTGCCTCCTAGTAGCAAAATTCTAAGGAATATTGAAAAGCAGATAATTTCTTTCCTTTACAATTCCCTTTAAGTATTGACACAGAGGCTGGGACTATCGCAGCACTTCTTCGCTGTAGAACAGTGGCAAAATGCAGTGATGCAAATTAGTCAAATTGTCTTCAAAGTAATCTAAAATACCTTACATGAGGCACGGACATAATGGTCATTAGCAGTTTAGCACTTTACTGTCCATCCAGTACCAGACAAGTTAGAAAGAAAAGATGTCCCAAGTGCTTTTTTACTGCACTGCAAACTTGCACTGAGTCAGGGTGCATACGTGGTTTTTAACACCCCATATACACACAAACACTTTGGTCTCCTAACAGTTGAAGAGTTTGATTTCATTCCTTATGGAGGAAGAAAAATCTTTAGTTGGTTATTCTACAGAGTTATTCTACAGTTTTGCTTGTCAGCACTAATGCATGGTTTAGTGCTTCGCCTCTGCTGCCTTCAGCATCCTGCTGCACTCCAAGCAGAGGAGAAGCAGCACTGATTGTCTTGGAAACCATAGTCCTACACTCTCGCCTCAAACGGGCTCAAAATTGACCTTGGGTACTTACTCTAAGTGCATTCCAGTGAGAGCTCCATATCCATGCCCTACACACTTCTCGCCTGCCTCCTCTTCTGCTTAGAGAAGTCCCCAAAAGCCGCTCTTTCCCCTGCAAACGCCAAGTGGGAGCAGAGAGCCCTCACCAGGGAGAGCTGGACTCCCTCTGCCCCCCCCAAAGCCTGTGCAACGATCCAAAAGGGCACAAAAAGAGAGGGGGAGCACGTACCCCTCTGGTTACTGAGGCAAACCTCCAGTCAGAAGGTTTCTTCAAAATACCTTTACAATGACGAGGGCTGGCAAGGAGGAAAAAACCCAAAGTAATTAACAAAACCCAGAAGGTAGAGCCCTGCCGCCGCACACAAACGTGCCCCGCTCTCTCCCTGTGCTGCAACAAGCTGGCGTACTCACTGTAAGAAACACGTGGACCTTCATCCTACAAAGAAAAGCTGAAAAGGTTTCCCAGCGAGCAGGGAGCCAGAGAGGTGCACTGGGGTTAACCTCTGGTGGTGCACCCAACCTTCCAGTTCCACCTGATGTTCAGATGCTTTTATTTCTCAAACCCAGAGAGCAGTTCTTGACACACGGCGGCTTTCAGGCTATTCTTTTTGACCCTCTGAACGCCCAAAACTGCAGCGAGCACAGAAGTAGCACATGTGAGAGTTGCAAAGAAATCCTGAACTCCCCTTCAACTGCTTGGCCTTGAACCTTACAAGACTGCATTTTATAAAGATCATTTTTCCTACATTCACAGCTCCTCTACATTTACAATTTTGTCAAAATTATTATAAAACATTTATTGACAGTAGCAAAAAACACAATAAATTTCTGTAAACAGAAATTAAAGCGGAAAATGGCTTTAAGTCATTTTTGACCAGCCAGCTGTACAAAAGCTTAAGCAAAGCAACAGCCAGGGAGGTTGGGTTTGGAAGAATCCACACGGAGTTCAGGAGACGTCATGCCTTATTAGATCACCAAAATAAGCAGTTATTGTCTTCAGTTTGTTATTGAGAAAATTTTGTTCTATTTCAACCTTCCCTCCTGGCCCTGCTAACGAAGCCACCTGAAAAACAAAGAACAAAAAGTGATCAACACACAGGAAAAGAGGTGAAACCCCAAACCTTTTATTCACATGAAATATCACATAAAACACATCTTTGCTTTGCTAATACTGGTGACAATGTTCCTTGGCACCTAATGCCTCTTTCTGTGTTGCCTTTTACTTGCAGAAGTGGTTTGTGGCTTTCTTCTGACTGAAAAACCCCCCTCACCCCACGCCATGAAAATAAGAGGACTTCAGAATTAGACAAAAATAGTTGTCATTTCACAGGCCATGCTGAGGCGAGAGATGCTAGACTCTGGTTTGCAGGGCACTTGGCATTTGAGACACCCAGTTGTGGCAAAAGCAAGCTATAAACTGTGATTGGAAGGTGTCAAAAGCCCAGGTTTTGGAGGAAGAGTAAAACCAAATCCTGAAATTAGGAAGCAGAAAGGTTGCACTGAAGGGTGGGGGGAGGGACGGATGGACAACCCAAACAAAACCCTCCCCCAAAACCACAAACTGGCAGAGCAGCTCACAAAAAGCAGTTAGCTGTTTGTTATTGCAACCAAAAAAATGCTGTTGTGTGTCCTGGAGTCTCAGGCAGCGTCGAGGGTAAGGCTGCAGGCAGCTGAGGAACTGCAGGCAGGGAGAGCCCGTCAGGCAGCGCTGGTCCCAGCTCTCGTGTTTACGATCACTGGAGTGAGAATTTCACCGTTCATGCTCTGTTGACTGAGGCCGGTTCACACCTTTAATGCTTAATGGTAACAGACAGACAACATTTTGCAGCGGACTTTGCATTGTGGACTGGAGCACGCAATAGTCTTTGCTCTCCTCTTCTTACTCACGATGCCTACTACGACCCCTTTGACGGATGACGGCCATGCAGGCTCCCAGTTTCTCACTAGGACAGATTGCACAGACAGAAGGAAGAGAACACCACCAAAACTGAGCGGTGACTGCTTTCTCCCCCCCTCACCAGGGACCCCGAGGACCTGTGCTGCGGTGGGGGTCCCTGCTCCACAGCTGGTTCTGCTCCGGGCTGCTGTTTTCCCAGCCTGTTGCAGGAAAACTATTTCTATAGTTCCCTATGCAGGGAAACTTCCTGGTCAGACAGAGTGATCAAGGTCTACAGGCCTGCAGTAGATTTTTAACTGATCTTTCAACCAAGTCGTCTGTGATGTTAGTAGCTGAAACTTAAAAGTTCAGGTTGCATTATTAACACTTCTAAACTCCTTTGAGACTTCACTCTGTAGCACAGGTTTAAATATAAGCATGTTGAACTTCCTCTATTTTACTCTAAGTAGAAAAACAGACTACTATGAAGAGGAAATAACAGATCAAACTATACTTTGAACCTTTATTGATTTGTCCAGAAAATCACCAATTACTTATCTAAATCAAGCATTTACTTTTCCGGGGTTTTTTCCCCTTTTCATTTTTTTGTTCCTGCAGACAAAACCAAAAACGTGAGCTGTTTCTTCATCCTTCAATTTAATGGTAATAGGAAAAAAATCTCCACGTTCTTGTCAAAGAGGAACCTGCCACTTAAGTAAAAAAGCAGAAGCTGGCTGACTTATAAATAGCACAAGAATCTGAAATTGGCAAGTGATCAGGAATGTTAATTTTACAACTTATCTTTTCTTGCTTGAAATCCTAAAAGCAGTTAACATTGCTGGGCGATCCATATTTTTTTTCCTAAGATGACGTTAAGTTTGTATTTTTAATTTATTATGAACAAAAGCTGGAATGTCCTTTCCAAAAAGCATTAGAGGCTTTGCACTTTATAGCTAATGTTTAGGTATTCAAAAATATTAATTGGATTAGTCAACTTCAAGTAAAAATATTGAAATTACTGTTTCGGGGTTACATACTCCTGCTTTCAGAGCACAATTTGTGTCACTAGCATATATGACTAATGCATTGATATCAAATACAAGTGTTTACTAAATATTTCTCTTAGAAGAACAAGTAAAACAAAATGCTTCATTAGCAACACAGGCAAATGCTGCTCCTCCACTGAGCGGTGGCATCCACTGAAGGACACCCGAGAAGTTACATACGCTGCGTCTAGTCTCTAAGTGTTAAATCCAGGATAACCAAGACTAATTTCAAATCACTACTAGAAGTATTTCATAAACCCAACGGTGACAGAAATCTAACGAGCACATGGGCGTAAGCTCTGCAGGGATGGATCCAGCACCATATGCTCCTCAACCCCCCCGATATTCAGAGGAAAGAAACGCAAATCCTCTGCGACGATGCTTATTTGCAAATTGCTGGAGGCTGCAAACTTAATTACATAGGAGTTGCCAAGTTTTCCTCGGGAGGGCTCAGTCAACCCTGACAGCTTAACAAGGGAAAGCTGCCACACACCAAGCTCCAGAAAGGTGCCAGCTTGGGCAGGGATGCCCTCTAAAAATAACAGCAGGTTGAGGAACGATGCTTTGAGAAAAACAAAGGTGCTCACCTATTTTTTAGAAATACCAACACGCATCTCCTGTTTTTGTGGTGAACTACAATCGTGAGTAGGGAAAGGTTTCTTAGTTTCTTAAAAAAACTGGACAAGTCCAAAATTTGTTAGTGGGTTGTTTTGGTTTCCCCCCCCTCCCCCTGTGCAAACATGACGATTTTCCTCATCCTGGTTTGTTCTTTAGCCCAAACCCATGTACTCAGCGGGGTGGGCACAGATATTGCCTCCTTTGCTGCGCCGGGTAATTCTGCATGCGCCACATGCCACCCTGGGATGAGGCAAAGGATGCAGCTTCAGTTAATGCGTCCCCACATCCCTCTCATCTGGATGCTTCATCCTTCAGCTCAGTGATTGCTGATGGAATTAGTCCACAGCTACAGACATCGCCACAGAGCATTAAAAATGCAGCCAGCAGGTTTGGTCTCAAAGTTTAAAACAGGGGACATCAGAAGAGAAATATGAAAAGGGAAACAAATGTGGAAGATTACTTCAGAAGCAAAGTTGCTTAAGGTGCAAACTTGCTTTATATTGGTCAGGTGTGGTTTTGAACGCAAAGGTTTTCCTGCTGGCCTTGCAGGATTTTTTTTAATCATACTGAAATTCCTTTAATAAAGTAACTTCCTATCTGTTCCAGACACCAACTAAGGTTACTGTGGATAAAAAGCTCTAATGGTATTTTTTTTCTCCTCCAAAAACTTTTCTAGGGTATGAGACATATGAGCTTTTTGCCTTAACAACCAGTCACATAAGGACACTGTGACTCATTTCATTTTAGACAACACTAGTAAAAACAGCGGGGGGAAAAAAACCCCAACCCAAAGGCTAGGGAAAAAAACCAACACCCAACTCACTTGAAAAAGAGGCAACGGCATTCTTTACATCAATTGTAATAAACCAAAATGCTCTCAGGCAGTATTTTTTAAAAAACGTACAGGTCTGCAGGTGAATGATGCCACTAGCACAGTGCTGCTGCCACCCTTTGACAGGCTAGAGATTTGTGTTTTAAACTTGAGGCAGGCAAGCTACAGTTCAGTATTCAAGCACTATGAACTTTTAGAAGATTGAAATCCAGACGTGCTACTCTGGCTTAGTGTATGCTGGGGGTATCTTCTGGCTTTATCTTTCATCAGGGACAGAGAACATACGTGAGTTTAAAGTGGGCTGCTCAAAAGCTGCTGTTATTAACACGACAGTTACAGCTGAAGCGTTACGCTATTATGTTCACTTAAAAATTATCAGCCTGCAAAAATACATCAACTCACAGTCTTTTACCTGCCAACTCCTGTAACACCCAAGCATCTTAAAAATGCAATCAAATTAACCCAAGATCATCTCCTGGCCTCTCACTCCCTGCTTTGCTCATTGCAGTATTTACTCCTAAATAAAAATGAGACATTGCTTGACAGGTCACATTTGGCTAGGATTCCAGTCAACCTCATCTAAAATCACAGCTAAATGAAAGGGGAGGGGGTAGTTTTACTAATCAGCCTCCCATCAAATGTCCTGATTCAGAGAGGTTACCATATACTCTTTTGTTAAACTGATCTATCTGGTGTCATTCCCAGAACAGAAAATCATACCAGAGAGAATTTAAATATAAACAAACATAGTCACAACAACAGCACAACCTTCTGCAGACAGAACAAAGCTTCGGTGTCTTAACTCCAGACTCTCTGAAAACAGACGATGAAGATGATATGGGAACAAAGGTAAGGAAAAAAAAAACCCCAGCACCTGAATTATGTGTATTCTTTGTATGACTATCAGGATCAAGAGCGTTTCACTTAAATCTGGGCTCAGGGAATCACTTTAAGCACTAGACAACAAACAGAAGCTAATTCAGATCTTCTGGCAGCAGCTGGAACACAAACCATGTCTGTTAAACCAACATTTAGAACAGCAAAAGCTCCAGCAACAGTGAAATGATTTCATTTAATTGGCCATAGCTACCACATACAACGAAAAAAACCCCCAAACACCCCCTTCCTAAATCCAATCCCCCCCAAATCCAGGAATCTACCCAATTTATAGTTTTGCACCAGTCATCAAATCTGCAAAGAGTAAAGACGCACATGTTTTCAATACAGAAACAAAAAGACGTCCAAGAAGCAACTGGTTAAAAAAAAAAAAAAAAGGAAAAAAAGAATTCTCAACAGTGCATAAAGACTAATGTAAACCTTTCCCTGCCTCCTACCCTGCTTAATTTTTTAAAACCACAATATCTTGAGTGAATAAACGCAGCCTATAAGATCTTCCTAGCAGAAGCTGTGTTACAAACCTGTACAACACCAAGCAGGCTGCCGGTAGGTCAGCTTGTGATGGACAGAACCACAGTTGGCCGGTAACAAATAAATCACTAGCTAGTTTAAGTGGAGAGAGGCTGCCAATTTGCATTATAATCCCAGTTTATGTATTTCCAGTCAACCAGCAGAAATCATGTGGGAGAATACCATAAATAATACAGCTAGAAGAGCACGTGGGTGCGAACACCTTGCTAGTGCACAGCATTTATCATTTCCCACCAGATCTTCCACACGTCTGTGAAATGTCG